GCATGTGGCCTTTGGTGGCCAGGCTGGCAGCTATCCTGCCCTAGACAGCTGCATTCCTGTGCCTAGTGCGGAGGTCGTGGACGTTGGAGGCCTTCCCCCAAACCTCGATGAGGTCCACGATCTCCGCACTAGACCAGAAGGGTGCCCGGCTCTTGCAGCTCCGGGCAGGCTCCTGGGAGCCACCAGCCTGGTCCTGGGAAGAGGCGGAGGGTTGGGTGGCAGTGGGTGGCTGGCTCATGCCGTGCCAGGTGCAGAGTCTGCTGGCTGGGTGCTGTCAGGCTTGCAATTGGCACAAGCACTGTAGCCAGACCATGCCCCTTTAAGGGCTCCGGGGCCGGGAGAGGGGCAGAAAAGTTTCCCTGGTTTGGCCCAAAGTGGCCATGAGGGCAACCTGGGAAGGGCTGGCCTCCAACTAGTTCGAATTAAGTGGCTACACAGCCCTTAATTTGAACTACTTAATTCGAACTAGGCGTTAGTCCTCGTAGAATGAGCTTTACCTAGTTCGAATTAAGTGCTCCGCTAGTTCGAATTAAGTTCGAACTAGCGATTTGTATGTGTAGCGCCTAGAGTGTAGACATACCCAGGGGGAGTTCAATGAGAGAAATGCTCCAGTCAATTTCCCTTATGCCTCATGATGGTGAGGAGTACCTTCACTGACGGGGGTACACCCAGTGTTTGATTTAGAAGGTCCATACTAGACTCAAACACTGGAAGATCGACTGTGTGTTGATCTTCCATCAAGTATAGATGTGCTCTCCTCCACTAAGGCTGTGGAGCAGACTTCACTCTCCCTTGTCCGTGCTCTCAGTGCCTCTGGGTTACATGAACATTGTGAGTAAACTTTGAATCAGTCATTAGTTCCCTCACTCTTGAGGAAAAGTAGCAATGAAGCATGGCTAGGTACGAGAAGCTCTCACTATTATCCTAAACCTTTTGAAGGGCAAAATGATGATTTTTTTGAAAAATAAGAAAGGACAGTTATTGCTAAAACTAAATCACTGAAGGTTTTTGTTGGACTGATCACCTTTTCCAGCTCTTTCACACATTTGCTACAAAATCATGTGCCTCTTCTTTGCCTTTTGTCTTCCCATTAATTGTCCAGGAGGGCTACAGGGAAGCTGGATTAATTAGGTCTGCAGTGTACCACAGGTTCTGCTACAGCTAGAGGATAAATTACCCTGTCTCCGTGGCTGTGGAGAAAACCAAATTAAACCTCACCATTCCTGGCAGTCAATGGACTGACATAGGGCACTGTGTCACAGACTATTTCTCAGGAGGAATCAGGAGCAATTTCTGTAGCTAATTGCTGTCACCAATGCTTTTCCTATGCAAAGGGACAAATAAAGCAGCAGGAGGAAACACTGCTGAGAGCATTCAGCCCAGATTTCAGGCTATATGATGGTATAAGACTTGAGTCTCTCTATGTGGTCTTTGGTAGCTAATGTATTCCTTGCACCTGGGTTACTGAATCTTGGAGCTATATTTAAACAACGTGAAAAAGCAGCACAAGCAATTTTCCGTATTGTGATAATGTGCTATCGCACTAAAATGAACCAGCCAGAAAAGAGGGTAAAGAGACAACTGACTAGCTAGAACAGTGGAGGGCAAGTTATGGCCTAAGGACCACAAGAGAACCATTGGGGTTCAGTGTGTGGTCCATGAGACATTTTATTTACCATTGCCCAGGCGCTGGGTTGCCAGATAGTTTGTTTGCAACTGATTTCACTGAAACATATAAAGACATATAAAGCAAAGACATGTGAAGTGAGGTGCGTGCTGATTGCACACAACATTGACTGTGACAGCTGTGTGCTCCCCTGTATCCAATCAAAGCACAGCTATGGTTTAATGGGCACATCCCACAAATTCTAGGTACGCAAACGCAGTTAACAAAAAACTACCCTATTCTGAGAGACCATCTTGATTATGTCAATCTTGAGATGAAATAGGGCCACTCGTGATCCACTCACTAGCCTAGATTGCCCTTTGCTGTGCTAGAGAGAGATGGAACTGAAGCCTTGTTCTTTGAAAGAAATGGCTAATGTTGCTCTCATAACAAGCTGAAGAAAATCTAATAGAGAGGTAGCCGTGTTAGTCTGATCTTGCTAAAACAAAACGAAAAACTATGTAGCACTCTAAAGCCTCACAAAATGGTTGAATAGGTGATGAGCTTTATTAAACAAAGAAAATCTAAAAGAGAGTTCTATAAATGTGAGCTCATTTAACCCCAGTGCATCAATAGGGGCTTGGGAACTCTCTGTTCTTGAAGGGGGTTGGGAAACAGAACAGTCAAGCATCAGTGATAAGCAGATATTGACTCACACTATTAATCGTACCAAAATAAGTTAATGGTTTATTGGCCAAGGTAAAAGCCTAGATCAATATCAGTCCTTAGTGACTTGGTAGATCAATACATCTTTTGATACTGATAAAGAACACAGGAGACATGTATTCTCAGTAATATAAAGTTCTGCTCTGCTGCTCCTTCTGCATTGATTGGAAACAAGAATAGGAGTAAATGGAAGGCCTCCTTGGAGATGATCAAGCACTTGGCAAAAAGGTGGTGGTTAAGTTTCTTATGGGACACATTTTCTAGATCATAAAAAAGATATATGTGCTTGACTCTAAGTGCACCGACTGAGGTCCCTGGCAGTGAGGTGGCTAAACTTTGGGGGAAGGGGAACGTAAACCCATTCGCCTTTCCTCTTAAGTAAATAAATAATCTGGGCTGCCTTCTGAAAATCACGGTAAGCTCTAAATGGTTTTCTTCTCTGTTGAGCAGATATTGACTTTTTTGTGCAGCAAGAGCCAACATGGCTGCCACCCAGTTTTACAGTGCTCAGTCCATGTCCCTGTTATTACCAACAATTTTCATAGCAAGAATACAGGACAACTTTAAGCTCTTCATTATTCAGGTTCTTTTATCATCGGCAAATCTCCCAACAAACAGGTCTCTGCTAATAACCAATAGCGCAAAGGGAGTCTAAAAGATAGCTGCGTCACAGGCCTGTGTTTTATAACTCTGCTGTTGCCATGAGCAAAGATAGTTTGCAGCTGGATGGGAAAACTAAATGTCAGCGTTGGAATGTATGAAGGTCACTGGATTTCATTACTTAAGTAATGTATCCAGATCCATTCTGACACGTTCATTTGTCAACACAGACCACAAAGTTCAATGTTAACATGTAAACATGTAGATGGAAAAGGCATCTCCATGAAGAACAAATGGGACCTTCAGACCCTGTCATTCTATGTTCTATTATTTCCCTCTTCTGCTTGCTTTACAGGACTGGCTGACTAAATTTGGCTACCTGCCTCCTCCAGACCCAGTCACAGGACAACTGCAGACCCAGGAAGAGCTTGCAAAAGCCATCATGGCCATGCAAGAGTTTGGCGGCCTAGAAGCAACAGGAATATTAGGTCTGTCCAAAATAAGCACTTTCTTCTTCTGTTTCATTCTGATGATCAGCTCAAAGATATCTTATAATAGTACTGGAGACAGGGGATGAGTTGTGTTCTTCCATACCACTGATCTGCAAAAGGTTGACTGTGCTAGTCCCAGGAAAATCTAATATGTGTGCAACAGCAAACAGCCCAGTTTGCAGTTATGAGTAATTACATGGCTCAGGTGCTCTGCTGCCTTCTGTTTTCAACAACCTAACATGGGCAATTATTTTACTAGACCCACATGCCTTTGGGGCATTTATTGTGCTCAAAATATCCCTTAATGAATTTTTTAAAAGAGAGAAACTTATAGAACTGCTAGTTTGGATGGTTTTTTTAAATCATTGATTACATCATCCAACTGAGAAAAAAAATCATTTTTTTCAATTCATTTTTTTCATTGCCCAGATCTTTAGGTTGAAATGTTCTAGTATTATTATTTGGGATAATTATTTGGGAGTGGAAGGATTGTTTCTAAAAGACTGACTCACTGCTGTTCTTTTTGTCTCCCCCCTCCCCCCCGCTTATTATACTTGTTTACATCAAATTATTTTTTAAGACAACTAGCATTTTTGGTTTTTCTCTCTGCTAAGAAAGCCAGAGCTAGTGACAGGTGCTTAGCCATAGCAATTTGCAGCTGCAGAAAGCTGGATTTACAGCTAAACCACAAGGTTGAGGGGTCTGAGATTCTATTCCAGGTGACTGTGTGTGTGACTGGGAGCAATTGCTTACCCTCTTTGCACCTCAGTTTCTTTTTCTGAGACATTGCATTCATTAATGTTTGTGAAGTGAGAGTCTTGAAAGGAAGGAATTCTAGAACCATGAAATATTACTGTTGTTTAGATATGATGGCACTGAACATTCCTGTGTATCCTAGTGGTCTTCTACCTCTTCAAGAAAAGTAGTTGCTCTAGTTAAAAACATAGCAAGACATAATTATTTGCTTGCTTTATTGATTTCCACCCAAAGCAGTTCAAAATCTCACCATAAGGCTCACCAAATATAGCCATCATGCAGTCTTCTCCCCGAATTCCAAGGTAGGAATCTGATTCAGGTCCTTTTGAAGTCAGTGAAGGGATCCAACTCCCTTTGAGTTCAGTGGGAGCTGGATCAAACCCCAGAAGTGCAAGTCTGTTCCTGGCCTGTTTGCTTCCTGCACTGCTGTGGAGTTGCCCTCCACTCTTGCAGTGTTGCATCTGAGTCAAGTGCCTTCCTGTCCAAACCATTTAACCATCCCTAAGAGGAATCAGCAGTGAGTGAGCATCAGCATCAATTCTGATTTTTCTCTGAATCCATTTGCTTGGACCTAAGTATCATCATAACCCTCCTAAAGTCTCTTTCTCTCTCCATAGTAGTATAGGGTGGACCGCTCTAATCTGGGACTCTCTGGTAGGGCAATCTTCAAGGTCTGATAGGAACACGGAGGTTCCCAGACCTGAGAGCCCTAGGAGTAAGGCGACAAGAGGACTGGCTGGGAGCACATCCAGGCCAGTGGCAGGAGATCCACAGGCTGGTGGCAGGGGTACTGGCAGCAGCAGGGGATCCCAGTGGCCAGGGGGAAGCTCAGAAGTTGACAGCAAAGGAGTGACCATTGACCTCCCCTTGTCTGATAAACTTCCTGGTTTGGGACAAGTCAGGTCCTGAGGATGCCGGACTGGAAAGGACCAAACTGTAGTTATTTTCTTGTCACCCTCAGTTCTTTGGTCCTTGAACCCTGCATAGCATTTCATATAGTAGCAATCTACTGTGGGGAGGTCAGTTTGCTTTCACTGCCATTTATTTGGAAGAGAGTTAGCAAAAACTTGCCAGTTAGCAGGCTCTCCTTTGCCAAGTTCAGACTGTGCTTTGGCAGCTCTCAGGAAGTCCTTCTCTGAGCAGCTGCTTCACATGTCATTTAAACAGCTCTCTGTCCAGTTTTCTTATCAGCTCACCAATGAGACTCTTGCTTTCAGTTTTTAATTAAATACATGTAATTATCTTTCTTTCACATCTCATCGGAAGCACCAAGTAGCCCAAGAACAGGGGTTTTTTGGTTTGCATTTGGGTATGTTGTGAAATTATGAGCATAAGTTAAAGTGGACTTTACAGTCTTTTTCCTTGTTGGAGGAGCCATGTTTTGGGATTTTGTTTTAAAGAAAAATATTTAATTTCCCTTTTTTAAAAGAATAAAAGCATAAGGCCAGATCTATAAATTGGTGCATCAAGAGAGTTCTGTTGGTTGTGGAACTGGCCCTTTAAAATTGTATTCCACTCCCAATAAAAAATTTATCAAAAAGAATATTAGCATTTTGTTTCCAGTATAACCAGACTATGTACACAAATATTATATTGCTTTTCCAGAGGATGTTGAGAAATCCAGAGACTGTGGCCACATCTATACTTACCTGCGGATCTAAGCTCCAGAGACTGAACTCTTGGGGTTCGTCTAGACTGGCAAGATTTTGCACAAAAGCAGCCGCTTTTGCTCAAAATCTTGCCGCCTGTCTACACTGGTCACGAGTATTTACGAAAGAACACTGACTTTGTACTGTACAAAATCAGTGGTTCTTGCGCAAATACTTTGACGCTTCCGCTCAGGGATAAGCCCTCATGTGCAAGTATTCTTGTGCAAGAGGGCCAGTGTAGACAGGCAAGTTAATTTCTTGAGCAAGAAAGCCCAATGGCTAAAATGGCCATCGGAGCTTTTTTGCACAAGCGAGCGTCAACACTGGTACGGATGCTTTTGCACAAAAGATGTCTTTTGCGCAAAAGCATCCGTGCCAGTGTAGACGCTCTCTTGCTCAAATACTTTTAATGGAAAAACTTTTCCATTAAAAGTATTTACATGAAATCGTGCCAGTCTAGACGCAGCCTTGGTGTTTGATTTAGCAGATGTAGCAAGGACCCACTAAATCAAACGCTGAGGGCACCCCATCAGCTCCAGTACTTGTACTCGTCATGAGGACTGAGGGAAGTCCATAGGAGTGTTTCTACCATCAGCCTGCTTCCATAGAGATGACACCAACGTTTGAATCAAAGTATGTCATAGAGATGTGAATGAGTAGTCGACTAGTTGATTAACCAATAAGCCTAGGTTTATCGGTTTATCTAATGGACTACTCGCATTCCCTGTATTAGAGTCAGCAGGCGTGGAGGGGAGCAGAAGTCAATACTTGGGGGAGCCGGCTTAAAAGCCAGAGGCAGCAGTGTGGGGAGCGGCAGGGGAGGCTGAATCAAAGTATGTCATAGAGATGTGAATGAGTAGTCGACTAGTTGATTAACCAATAAGCCTAGGTTTATCGGTTTATCTAATGGACTACTCGCATTCCCTGTATTAGAGTCAGCAGGCGTGGAGGGGAGCAGAAGTCAATACTTGGGGGAGCCGGCTTAAAAGCCAGAGGCAGCAGTGTGGGGAGCGGCAGGGGAGGCTGC